TTCATGCATGCCAAGAGCTGACACCAGAGAAACATCACTCATCTTTCGTGAGGTAGCTGAATAAGTTTCCGACATTAAGAATAGTATCAAAATGAGGTGCGAATCCAGAACACGTGAGAGACAAGTGATAAGAAAAATCAGGAATAACAAAATAGAATATTAAAGTCGTATTTTAATTTTTAATCACCATATAGGACGAATATTAAAGTCGTACTTTAATTTTTAATCACCAAAAAGACGTCTAGAATAAATTCTTATTGGGTATATAGATAAATAACATAAACACATCAACAACAAGTTAATCCCAGATGTAAACATTTATCCTGTATACTGTTTACTCATCAATCAATTATATGACATGTCTGCTGATGGCATATGAGTGGTCTTTGGGAACACGCGTTATTTCTAATTACTGTCGCTGACAATGTCAGAAATAATTTCGTATTTACTGATTTATCTTTGTTTAATTGGTTGACGCAGATAAAATTGACAGCACTGATTAAAGAACAAAAAAACTGGTAAAACGACGTAATAATTTACGGAAGGAATCCATAAACTTATTGGAAAGCAAGACGTCTCAAAATGTATTCTTCTACTAATTCATAGCAAGAAATAAAAAAAGACATGTGTAATGCAATTTACTTCACAGCAATGTATTCATTATACAATCAATTATATGCGGTCAATGGTTCTGTCTATTATTTTATAAATTATAGAAAGCCCTGACTATCGGCGCTTTTTGTTTCAACATAAGAAAATCTAAATTTAAGTGCTATGTGTTTTTGGTTATACCTAAAATAGTGTGAAATGATAAAATAATGAAAAGAACAAGATCATCAAGGTAGTCAATATTGGCAATACGAGAACAATTGATCATTAGTTAACTAAAAGCTAACTAAGTAAGTAACTTAATAACTAACAAATTAACTACTGTAACTAAGAAATAATGTTGACAATTTTACAATGAAAGTCTAACGTATGCTACGAACAAGCTTGGGTCGTCTTGACAGCTTAAACGTCACCGCATGGAAATCACAATGAAACAGTTATTGTAATATATAACATTGTTTTATAATAAAAGAAACAAATAAAAATAGCAAAAACAACGGAAACCTTAAATAATGCAGTATGTAATGAAAACTTTTGCAGGCTCGGTTGATTGAGCCCGTTCATGGACGTTAGTTGTGAGAATAAGCTAACGTGACCGGCCCCTAGTACCAGCTTAAGCTAACGTGACCGGCCCCTAGTACCAGCTTAAGCTAACGTGACCGGCCCCTAGTACCAGCTTCAGCAGAAATTAACATTATAACAGTGTAATTTTAGAATTAAGAAACATCCATTATCCTTCAACGTTATGGTTCGAGTTCCGAGAGGTCTTTCGAGGCTTTCATGCCAGGAAGCTAACTCAGTCGGTCAGAAAATATGTACTAAGGTCGTCTAAGACAGAAAAGCTAAACACTTGACAAATACAACTTTGCTGCGAAATAAAAACAACAGACTTTTATTGTTACGATCCTGATAATTTTACATACAGTATCAGTAAATGTATTGATGTTACCTAATATTTTTAACAAAAAAGTTTATATTTGATTGTAATTTATACATCCATTCAATCTAATATTATTTTTGAAATAGAGACGAATAGAGTCCCAAAAAGAACGCTTAAAGAGCCAATGTTTAAAACGCAGTAGGCTCAGATAGATTGAGCCTTTTCATTGATGTTTTGAGTAAATGCAAACTACCGTCAATGCCCCCACCCCTCCCGACCGACTTTAGCAGACATCAACATTTAAACAGGAAATATTTAACTTTTAGAATTTAGAATTTCTCACTGTTCAGTGGTAGGATACTACGTCATTCACGTCATACTGTGACTGTTTATACGGTTATTATCATTGAATCTTCAATGTGACACGCCAATACTGTGACTGTTTATACGGTTATTATCATTGAATCTTCAATGTGACACGCTAATACTGTGACTGTTCATACGGTTATTATCATTGAATCTTCAATGTGACACGCTAATACTGTGACTGTTCATACGGTTATTATCATTGAATCTTCAATGTGACACGCTAATGCTGTGACTGTTTATACGGTTATGATCATTGAATCTTCAATGTGACACGCTAATACAGTGACTGTTCATGCGATTATTATCATTGAATCTTCAATGTGACACGCTAATACAGTGAATGTTCATACGGTTATTATCATTCAATGTGACACGCCATCTCATGAAAAGCGGCGGATGGTCCCATCCACTCAGTAAAAGATGGTGTGTGTCCTAAATGAAAAAATGACATAAGCGAAATAAAATTGAGTTTTAGGAGGTTATGAAGCACGAAATCATGTACCACAGGTTACTAAAGTTACATGAGTTTTAAGGGTTATTGAAACTGGCTGTATTTTTACAAATAAAATGAATAAACCTGATATGTGTTTTTCCTTATCTGCTAATATATTCTCCATAATGTAGTCCTTTGCATACAGACATGAAAAGTCTTGTTTAATGATCATATAGTTAGATTAAAGTAGTCTGTAATCTAAATGAACGTCGTTTACAGCTGAATGTTGACAACTAAAATGTGTTTTAGTTTAAAATTTATGGTAATTAGTCGAAATTCGATACAAATGATTCGAATTTGAAGTTATCAGAAATTATTCATTAAAACCAGAACATGAGTAGCGCTATGAAACTCATCGGTCACTTGAGTTTCTAGATTTTGTTCTCGCATAATCTTTTCAGTCTTTATGACTTTAAAGAACTTTGAAAGCTGGTTCTCGTAGTAAGCCTTAAATTATAGCCTTGTTCTCACAAAATTAGACATTTTCTTCTTCAGATTATATACTTCACATGAAGGTAAAGAGGTTGCATATATGTACCTCTGTTCTCTAAAGCTGGTTAGTGATTTTGACATGATAACTGTGTACCAGTAAGCATGTAATGAAAGGACTTTGGGGCGCTGTTATCACCTAAATGTTATTATAAATAGTGAATATAAAATGATCTTCGATAATATTTGTGTTCCTTTAGTATTTAACTTGTATATGTGATTCAAATGATATTTAATTTATATGTTGTTCTGTTGTTTCCACTATAAACTGTCCTATAATTTACAATGAATGTTTATAAACTTAATGTGGAGGACTATTGAGAAAACTTTGATGTCCACAAACAGGCTCAATCAAACCGAGTCTGTTGCCGTGAGCTTTACCAATGTTTTATACATACTGTCTTCAAACAGTGGCTCTTTTTTTCCCGGTTCCCTGCTCGGTACCCTTGCTGGTGTTGCTGTGCCGTGTTGGACTGCGTTTTTTTTTCGTTTGTTTTTCGTTGTTTTTTTTTTGTTGTTGTTGTTTTGTTATAAATATAAGATTTGTATTCAAAATTAGCTGAATAATTCTGCCTATTGAAGAGTTTTTTTGTAACGGACTTTTGAAGAAAACATGTTACATATAAACGATCAATTTCCAGAAATGACTGATTTGGCTTGAATCTTCTTTTCTTTTGTGTGTTCTTTTTTTCTAAATTAGTATGTTATTTTACATTCTTAATTATTTTTTTTGAACCTTTCTTAAGCGCTAACTAAGGCAAAAAATAAAATTGAACAATTATATTAGTTACTTCTGCCATAAATATAGGTAATAAGGTCTGTAGAATATACAAGACGTCTTTTGGAATTATTTATATGGAAAAGTCTGTCTAGAAAAAACAGGAAATACACCTCTTCTACTGTGAAACTCTAATAAAGGCAACAAAAATAAATCTCTGTAAAATATACCACTAGACTGTTTGATTTATTGCTTTAATTTATTCAATAAGTCATTTCCGTTAATTTAAATAATCATTTTTTTTTTCATAAAATAGTTAAATTATAACTGAGGAATTGATGGATAGATCGAAACATACATAGATAAATAACGTAAATCTTAAGAGTGTAATAGAAAGTAAATTTAATTATTTTATACTGATTTAGTTTAATAATGTTAATGTATTTGAATGTGTTTTGCTAACGCTAGGACCTACACGTATAAAGCTATATACATGTTAGAAAGAAAAGTCTGGTGTACACATTTAGCATAAACATTGTACATGTAATTGTATATTTCAAATATAACCTAATGAGTCGAGCAAATAATTCTTTTTGTTTGTTTTATCTTCACAGAATACATATGAAGGGGCCTTTTTTCTGGAAAAACCGCTGAAAACAGATTAAAATTCTAATTTCCATTTGTCTCGTGAACAACAAATTAATTGAAAGGCAACAATAATTGATAATTTTCACAGGATAACGCGAGGCATACAAATCTTCAATTATAAAAAAAACTTTTCCTCATTAAAGATATTTGATTATACAAGTATTTCCAGTATGATATTGCCAGACTTGATGATATTGACAGACCTGATGATATTGCAAGACCTGATGATATTTCAAGACCTGATGATATTGCCAGGCCTGATAATATTACCAGACCTGATGATATTACCAGATCTGTTGATATTGCCAGACCTGATGATATTACCAGACCTGATGATATTACCAGATCTGATGATATTGCCAGGCCTGATGATATTGCCAGACCTAATGATATTGTCAGGCTTGATGATATTGTCAGGATTGATGATATTGCAAGACCTGATGATATTGCCAGGCCTGATGATATTGCCAGACCTAATGATATTGTCAGGCTTGATGATATTGTCAGGATTGATGATATTGCAAGACCTGATGATATTGCAAGGCCTGATGATATTGCCAGACCTGATGATATTGCCAGACCTGATGACATTGCAAGACCTGATGATATTATCAGATCTGTTGGAATTGCCAGACCTGATGATATTGCCAGACCTGATGATATTGCCAGACCTGATGATATTGCAAGATCTGATGATATTGCCAGATCTGATGAATATTGCAAGACCTGATGATATTGCCAGACCTGATGATATTGCCAGACCTGATGATATTACCAGATCTGTTGGAATTGCCATGCCTGATGTTATTGCCATGCCTGATGATATTGCCAGACCTGATGATATTGCCAGATCTGATGATATTGCCAGATCTGATGATATTGTCAGGCTTGAAGATATTGCCAGACCTGATGATATTGCCAGACCTGATGTTATTACAAGACCTGATGATATTACCAGATCTGTTGGAATTGCCATGCCTGATGTTATTGCCATGCTGATGATATTGCCAGACCTGATGATATTGCAAGATCTGATGATATTGCCAGACCTGATGATATTGTCAGACCTGATGATATTGCCAGACCTGATGATATTGCCAGATCTGATGATATTGCAAGACTTGATGATATTGCCAGACTTGATGATATTGCCAGATCTGATGATATTGCAAGACCTGATGATATTGCCAGACTTGATGATATTGCCAGATCTGATGATATTGCAAGACCTGATGATATTACCAGACCTGATGATATTACCAGACTTGATGATATTGCCAGACCTGATAATATTGCAAGACCTGATGATATTACCAGACCTGATGATATTGCCAGACTTGATGATATTGCCAGATCTGATGATATTGCAAGACCTGATGATATAACCAGACCTGATGATATTACCAGACTTGATGATATTGCCAGACCTGATGATATTGCAAGATCTGATGATATTGCCAGATCTGATGATATTGCAAGACCTGATGATATTGCCAGACCTGATGATATTGTCAGGCTTGAATGATATTGCCAGACCTGATGATATTGCCAGATCTGATGATATTGTCAGACCTGATGATATTGCAAGACCTGATGATATTAACAGATCTGTTGATATTGCAAGACCTGATGATATTACCAGACCTGATGATTTTACCAGATCTGTTGGTATTGCCAGATCTGATGATATTGCCAGACCTAATGATATTGTCAGGCTTGATGATATTGCCAGACCTGATGATATTGCCAAACCTGATGATATTGCCAGACTTGATGATATTGCCAAACCTGATGATATTGTCAGGCTTTGATGATATTGCCAGACCTGATGATATTGTCAGGCTTGATGATATTGCCAGACCTGATGATATTGCCAGATCTGATGATATTGCCAGACCTGATGATATTGCAAGACCTGATGATATTAACAGATCTGTTGATATTTGCAAGACCTGATGATATTACCAGACCTGATGATATATCCAGATCTGTTGGTATTGCCAGATCTGATGATATTGCCAGACTTGATGATACTTCCAGACTTGATGATATTGTCAGGCTTGATGATATTGCCAGACCTGATGATATTGCCAGACCTGATGATATTGCCAGACCTGATGATATTGTCAGGCTTGATGATATTGCCAGACCTGATGATATTGCCAGACTTGATGATATTGCCAAACCTGAATGATATTGTCAGGCTTGATGATATTTGCCAGACCTGATGATATACCAGACCTGATGATATATCCCAGATCTGTTGGTATTGCCAGATCTGATGATATTGCCAGACTTGATGATACTTCCAGACTTGATGATATTGTCAGGCTTGATGATATTGCCAGACCTGATGATATTGCCAAACCTGATGATATTGTCAGGCTTGATGATATTGCAAGACCTGATGATATTACCAGACCTGATGATATATCCAGATCTGTTGGTATTGCCAGATCTGATGATATTGCCAGACTTGATGATACTTCCAGACTTGATGATATTGTCAGGCTTGATGATATTGCCAGACCTGATGATATTGCCAGACCTGATGATATTGTCAGGCTTGATGATATTGCAAGACCTGACGATATTGCCAGATCTGATGATATTGCCAGACCTAATGATATTGCCAGGCTTGATGATATTGCAAGACCTGACGATATTGCCAGATCTGATGATATTGCCAGATCTGTTGGTATTGCCAGATCTGATGATATTGCCAGACTTGATGATACTTCCAGACTTGATGATATTGTCAGGCTTGATGATATTGTCAGGCTTGATGATATTGCCAGACCTGATGATATTGTCAGGCTTGATGATATTGCAAGACCTGACGATATTGCCAGATCTGATGATATTGCCAGACCTAATGATATTGCCAGACTTGATGATACTTCCAGACTTGATAATATTGCAAGACCTGATGATATTGCCAGACCTGATGATATTGCCAGACCTGATGATATTGCAAGACCTGACGATATTGCCAGATCTGTTGATATTGCCAGATCTGATGATACTTCCAGACTTGATGATATTGTCAGGCTTGATGATATTGTCAGACTTTATGATATTGCAAGACCTGATGATATTGCCAGACTTTATGATATTGCAAGACCTGATGATATTGTCAGGCTTGATGATATTGCCAGACCTGATGATATTGCCAGACTTGATGATATTGCCAGATCTGATGATACTTCCAGACTTGATGATATTGTCAGGCTTGATAATATTGCCAGACTTTATGATATTACCAGACTTTATGATATTGTCAGAATTTAAGATATTGTCAGAAGATATTGCCAGACTTGATGAGATTGCGAGTATGATAATGCCAGACTTGGAAGTCTTGAAAATAGTAAAAATAAAGTACATCTACTTTTGTCTGTTATTTTCCGTTTTTGGATCGACATTGTTCAAAGCGAATATCAGCAATGTAAAACTGTTATAGCTTTTTGCTGAAAGCTCCTGTATCATAAGAAGGTGGAAATTATTACTTAATCCACAAAATTTGATAAATTTCACCTCATTTAAAAGTATAAGGCAATTTTAATCTATTCTGAAGACTTCTAGCCTGTTATTATAATAAAAGCCTGCATGATATTATCACCAAGTCCTGATGATCAGGATACACACAATGTTTACTAGACACGTTTCACTTTTAAACATAAGCATAACTTACTGGGTACACAATAGAAAACAAATTATTTGAAATTTTCCGCCGTCTCGCCGAAGTAGAATTGTCTTACATGTATTGAATTAAAACCCACACAACCAAACATTACCTTAACACAGAAATAATATGACAGGGACATTTTATGAGATGGTTAAAGGAGTGCCATATAAATACCTACACCACGTGATGTGTCATAACAGAATTTTATACAACGTCATTTTTGCAATTAATTAATTTGAAAAACACAAAGTAGAATATTGTCTAGAATTTCATTTTATAAGGTGTTTCGAAGTAAATTAACAAAACATAAAGTTTATCTCGTATAAATGTACAGAAGATATAATTTATATTAAATTGTGAGAGGATAAATGAGAAACTTTTATGTGAACGAAACGATGGTTAATGTCATGCTCAATTTTACTGTAAAATTAGGCTGAATAAGTTATATTTTTCAAAATATTGACTTTTATTATGGTGATTTAACCAATAAAAGTTAATGAAAAATGTTGAGGGTAGAATGTAAAAACTATCTAAATTATAAAACATACTGCCCTTTCTTTTTTAACAATTGAACGCTACCGATATATTACGAACACTTTTTTAGTACCATTTACATTTAAATGGATAATATACAGGAACTGACCGAATTTTAAAGAAATTATTGTTGAGAAACAGATACCTGTGGATAGAGATAATCCGTTTAAATTTATGTCAGATTTTACGAAGTCGGTGCACATTTTATATATACTGTTACGAGCGTATTCGCGGGACCAACTTAAAAGCTTGCATTATCCACAACAATGCACTCAGAATTGATATCTATTTCCTAAATATATCACTATTCACTAGCACTAGTAAGAAACTAGTTGAGGCCCAGTTTGTTGATAGAAGAAGTTACCTGTAAGCATCAGACAGACTAACAAAGCCAAACAAAAAGATGTGAATTTATACGAGTTCCGATTGGAAATTTCTTGAACATCTAAAGACGTTTTCTTTCCTTTTATCAACGGAAATAGTTGTTGTTGGTTTGTCAATGTGACCTCCGATTTTTACGTTGAATGATTCTGGACTCCAATCATCAGATGTTTTGTTGTATGTATCTAAATATAGGCCTATTTAAATATTTATGTTATTACGTTATTATAAACAATTCCGTTTAGTTATTTATAGTTATGTTTTGTTGTTGCTGCTATTTTTTAAATAAAATTCACGTTATTGAAATGTAAATTTTTTTAAGTTAAAATATGCCTGTCAGATGTCTTTTACTTCTTTCTTATCTTTCTTTTTCATCCTGTCTTTCAGGTTTTTTCCAAAATATTTCTGTTCTTTGCTATTCTGGAATTCAATTACTCCTTGAAAACACACCACACAATATACACCTTTTCATTTTCTCCTCATATTTTTGTTATTGGACGTAAATCAAATTATTACATTTATATATTAATCAACAAATTATTTTAACATTTTTTTAAATACACTCGTTTACACGACATGGTACATTTAAGCGATTGGTCAGCTTTTGATGTCTCCCTACGAGAGATAAGGTCGAGTAAACAAAACGATTACCACGTTACACATTTTTAGTAATTCACCTCAGTCAGCTTCACTTGACGTCTTTCTTGAGTTTGAGTCGAAGATTGAGATTATGTATCGTCTTTGAATACAGGCCTTAATCCATAACAAAGGTGATATTTTGGTCAAATTTTAACCAGAGACAAGTATAGATTACATAAATGTACTTATATGATTAGAAATCAATTGTGTTTTTTAAATACCATCAATTGCAGCGTCTATGTCAATGTTCATGTTGTATTTGAAAGCGATACGTTAATGGTATACAAAAGATTGTTTGGACTATTTGTTTAACCCGTTTCACACCAATGCTAGTCAGGATAAACGCTTGTGTACTGCATTAACCTTTTTTAGCGCAGCTGCAATAAAATCATTTTACCTATATTTGCAGCTGATGGAATTGTTTGTTACAAAACCTCCAGTTGTATAACTATGTTTACTTTTGGCTTAAAGAGCAGCTGGGGAACTAAAGAACATAAAATGAAATTAACATTAAACTGTTATTGTAATACAATCATTGTCGTATTTTTTAATCTAGTTGCGGTTTTCTGTCAAGCGACTTAAGTGCAGGAGGTATCTGTAATTGGAGATGATTTCAAAGGTAAGTCACAGTATACTTTTTGTCACCAAGCACTTTAAAATGTAGATCAAACGCAAATCTAAAGGACGCCCAATACGACCAAATTGAAAAAATAGTGCAAGGCTTTTGATTCAGCTTTTTTCTCGGATTGTAGTTGTGTGGTACAACCATCCCCAAAACATCGGTTTTTAGCGACGCAATCCTAATATTCAATTCCATACAAGCTACAGATGGTTGCCATGGAACATTTTAGTGTAACATATCTTTTCACGCGGCGTAAAATCTCCAAGTAAAGGTATGTATTTCCTCATATGGGAATGTGTTCAGTGTATAGTTCAATTGTATCATAGCTGGGGACCTTTCTGTTGAAAATGTGGCAGGGTTAAATCGCATACATATACACGCCACAGTGCGTTAACTGGAGTGCAGGTATCAGTTACCGGCACTCCAGAGCATGCCCATTGATTGGTTCATTTTGTTTGCTGTTTACAGATTGTGACGACAGAGACAGGGAAAGCGACAAGAAATATCATATTTAGATGATTGTTTTGGTTACTTTTTCTGGGATTTCATATTGTGACAACAGGGAGCGTGTTTTTATTTTTGACTTATGATACAAAAGAGAAAGAACACCAAAACACTCGTACAAATCAGATAGCCTCACCTTTCGATGCTCTTTCTATTACTAAGACAATATTTTGTCATGCAGTCATAGGTTATGACGACAAATACTGACACCTGTCAAAAGTCAAATCTGCTAAGCAGGCAACACTTTCTTAATAGCATTGGCCGAGAAACACTCTGTATGAAAGATGAAATACATGTATTACAAACAAACTGTTTAATATTTTAACATTTTTATTTAGAAAATAATTGCCAGTCTTAACTGACACACATACTAAATAAAGGACATTTGTTGTCCAGGGAAAACTTTATAAATCTTCAATACAACAAACAGACAGACCAAGTGCGTC